CCCTGCCGGCCGAGTTATCGAGTTCGAGTGGAATCTTCGGTTGATCTCTAATGCATGCAAATCGCTGCGCATCATCCGGAAGATCAAGCTTTCTCCGACGCGATGGCGCGCAAGATTACGTATCACTTCGCCTTTTCGCGTGGTATTTTCCGAAAAACGATTTCCCTTCCCGATCGATTCGTAGAACTCGATAACGGAGGAAGGTAAAAGTCAGGCGGAAGAAATCAAACGGAAATTTCTGATCGAACGGAATCATTCTTCCCAGAAAGAGAAGGCGTTCCTATATAGTTTTCGAATTTGTTTCCCTTATAATGATTCTTAATGCGAATCAGTAGAAAATGTAAAATTAAAATTCTTGGTATCAGTATGTCAGGTAATCGAAACTCACGACGCGACGAACTATTTAGTTACATTATAGTATAACGTTATAAAACTACGTTCTTGAATTGACTGTAAAATAATAAATAATTCTAAAAAATTATTTCCTTTATGAATCGATTCGCGAAATTCGACAAATCCGAGGAAGAGGAAAGTCGAACAAAGGAAGTCAGGAGTAAGCACGAGTTACAGTGCCGAATACACAGGACATAGAAGGACACGATTCTGAATCTTCGACTCGACGATGAAATCCACTCTGCTCCCGAGACACGTGTCTTGGTTCCACCGCTCCAGAGAACAGCAATTTTCTTGCGCACCTCGCGTACGTTCATATTCCCGCTGCGAGATGCACTTCTACCGTGCTTGCAGATATCATGGCCCGTTCGAGGGATATTGTGTCCCGTTCGGTGTGATGAAGAACGAGGAACAATAACGAAGACAGGGTCTAACAATCTCTCTATTTTAGAGAGAGAGAGAGAAAAGGAGAAGAGAACGCAGGCGAACAACGATATAGGAATTACGCGCAGGAAGCGAAAGCATGCTAAGTAACGAGAGTAAGATGAACAAAGATCGCTAATTATAAGTACAGACAAAGCGAGAGAGAAGGGGAAAAGCAGAATACCAGAAACAGGAGTGCTACATAGACACAGTTCGTTAGGGAGCGAGTGGAAGATAGAGAGCGATACTACCGGATGGCACGAAATGCTGCCAGAACAAGGAAAGCGCAACAAGCTGGGACGTGAGAAAGATAGAGAGGGAGAGAAAGAGAGATGTATATACACGGTTTATTAGTGTCCAATTGTAACGACAGAGGTGTGGGGATACACGAAAGCGAGCGCGTGAACTTGCTCATTTGCGTAACTGTTAATTCGCCGCGTTTGTGTGAGCGAGCACCGTGCCGCGGCTCGTAGATACTAGAGCCAGCCAGCCAGCCAGCCAGCCTCACTGCCGACGCGACGCAACGCGACGCACAGACAGAAAATTAGCGCTTTGAGTGTGGCTGACTCTGACCGCCCGCTAACTACCTACCCTCGTGTTCGCTTGATGTTCATCAACGCGTACACTCATGCTTATAAGACTTAGAATGCTTTTAATTTAAGCCTTGCGCGACCGCAGACAAGATTATCTATGTATCTATGTATGTATGTATTTCGCTATGTATACAATATATGTTCTACTATCTGATAAAGCAGATATCTGCAATATAATAAACAAGCAGAGTTTATCGATAATAATTTTTGCTTATGATATTTTGCTATAATAGAAAACTAATAGAAATAAGTGATAAATCTCTACTTACGTTTACAATCTGCAAACTTTGTTGCAAAACTTGCTCTTTGATAAGAAGGTAAGTATACTTCAGGTGAATAAAAAATAAT